GGAAAGAAAAGTTGGCTATCAGGAACAAATTTGCTGCTACAAATTGATGGGAACTCGACGACGGGAGAAAGCAGCCTCAAACCAGCCATAAGCATGCACGTTAGGGAGTACCGCGGATTGGCGGCATCATTTTTGCAAAAGTTACCATATACCTTTGGTAGATTAGATAAAGACAAAAAAATGAGTTTGCAATTTTAAGTAGCGCTCTCGCTGAGAGCGGTCCTCTCTACTTCCCGTCGGAAAAAAAGTTTTCCTTCACTACTTGCCCATAATAAAGGGTTTAGGACACATATTTCAAAAGTAGTTTATTTGTTCTCCTATTCCCTTTTTGCGTGGTCGCAAGCTAAAATTGATTTTGGCCATACCACCCGTGTGGACAGCGATCGAAAGTGTAAATTTTACAGATTTTCTTGAAGCGAAGCGACTGCATTAATACAGCTCACGGAATTCGCTCTCGCTACAAATTGTATGATGTATTCAGTCAGTGTACAGACAAAAGATGGAAACTTCACCTGAAATATTTTCCATTACAGCGTTACCTGAGGAGACCTCTTCGACCTTAATATTTGCATATCAAAAATTTACCGATTTGTATGAGAGAATTTTCAAAATTCAGGCGTAAATCGGGGCAAAAAAGCATATCAGTGCATAGCATATACTCCAATGAAGTCGCAGATTGCCTCAAACCCGCAGGTATCTGTCTAACTTTCATTCACTAACATCTTGAAAACACCACCAATCCATGTGTTTGCTGAATTGTGCTCGTCTCAAAGCTCATTTGCATAATTCTTTGCATAGTTCCTTGGAGATGTTCGTCTTTAGAATCTCTGCGAGATCGAGTTTTCTTGCAACCTGATTACCCTGCCCTGTAAACTTCATCACATGAATAAACACATATTTTTTGCGTAGATTAGCAAGAATGTTATTTGGATAGTCGAAATAAGTCTCACCTCCTTGAATCCATGTTCCAATTAGGTTGACAATGTTGGGATGTCGTCCAGCCTGTTTCAACGTTCTTATCTCATTCAGCAACGCGGCTTTCGCAAGTGTGCAAGCATTACCTGAAGAAAAAAAATAAACAAAGGTGATAATTATTCATTAGTTAGTTACGTTGTGTTGTACGTGGAATGCAAAGAAAACGAAGAATACTGAGAATACACTGCCAGTCTAAACACCTTGCTACAGATATTACGTTTAAGAATTCAGATTGCAATGGGGTAACATACAATAGTCCCAAAAATACGTATAATCGAATTTTATTTACTGATCCGCCCACACTGTCGAGAAAACAATAACTGAGTAAAGATTTAAGCCAATAGAATAGGATCCTTATGCATACCTTTCAACTTCTTTACTGCAACATCAGTAATGCTACCATTCCTTCCACCATAGCGACCTTTGTAAACGATTCCATATTCTCCTTCACCTAGTACCTCATCGAGTACTTCGAGAGTACCTTGGCTTTTTTCGCTCTCCTCTATCTCAGTGAAGAGAGATGTTTGTATTTCGTCGCTATCTTTGTCACTATCCATCCCACTGTCTTGATACGAAATAATGTTGACATCACGGTGACCACAGCCATCTTCGACACTTTGGTGACCATTTCGTGAGTTAAACAACTCTTCTGCATAGCCTTTTTGATCAGAGATGGAATTTAGGAAATGTTTATCTCCGACATCTAGTGGAGTCGGAGTCCTTCTTTCCTCAGACGATACTCTCGGTATCGAGTCAACTCTCCAGTCGTCATGCGTATGCTTTTTATTGTTTAGTTGCACATTGTCATTGTTATTTTTAACAACTAACAACGGAGTGATAGCATTTACCTCTAAAAGCTCACTTTCTTCCGTATCAGCATTCATATTTTTCAGTATCACCTCAGCTAAATCTTTGTTGTCTATGCAGGCCACATAGATCTCTTCCGCACCTTCATTGCCCTGATATTGATACAGACAGAGAGCAACATGTTCAACTGAGAGCAGTTTTAAGGAGTTAAACATCGTTACAAATGCCCTGGCGATCGAAATGCCCAACTGTTCAAAACAAAAACGATTGCTTATTCTCCGCTTTGAGTATTCTTACGAATTTTATTTAACAGCGATTATAGTTAGAAAACAGTTTTGTGGGCGTTTGATCAAGTTAACTTTTAGTTGCTATGAAGTTCGATTGCACTCAACAAGTGTTACCTCATGATTTCTTCTTGCACGTCGATACAAAAACGCCATAATGCATCCGCTC